CCATACTCTTTAAAATTACTCTAGAGTTTAGGAGAGCATAATTTCCAAGACAATTGTAGCCTGGGCACTAAATATACGATAGTACTAAATATTTTTATACATACCACGCAGGCACAAAATAGAAAAAATTTCAGTTTCCTATACTTTATCTATATATATATTAAAATTTATATAAATTGACTAATAAATTAAAAGAATTATTGAAAGATTTAAAGAAAATTGCATAGCGAGCTTCCATTTTATGTTGTTTTATCATGAAATAGAAAGGATTAAGAGCAATCGAATAACATGATATCAGCACTTGGCCTGGCCAACTGGCTAGTTTGGTGAGGGCATTCCGGCAAGGGTTCAGCAAAGGAATACCCATGGACTGCAATTGAATTCTTTTGGGGCATTTTTTGGGCTATTTTCTTAGTGGGTGTTGCGCTAATAAATTAGCTTGCTGCCAGCACCACTCGAACCGCAAACTTGCGTTCCATAACAAAAGCGCAACAAATTAAATGTCAACTTTTCTTTTGGTGGTGAGTCGCGGGGGGCTAAGAACAAGATGTGGTGATGGGCCCACAAAAAGCATTCTCACTTGGCCACTAGCGGACCCCATTTGGTCATATTAAAAAACAATTTCCACACACACGCACAGCAAATACATCGTTAAACTTGCGACACGCGCCACAAAGGACCACAAAAAAAAAAGAATATGGAAGAGGAAAAAAAAAAAAAGAGCGGACAAAAAAGGCAAGAAAATTGGCTACAAAAGATGCTAATGATTTATTTAATCGATTTGACCATGAACATATGTAACGCCATTCAGCGTGTGAAAAATGACAATCCAGCTCCGGCAAAGAACGTTCTTTGGGTTTCGGTTTTGGGTTTTTTTTTGTCCTTTTCAACTTTCCTTAAGTGTCTGTTGATATTTTTAATAGTTTCGGCTACGCAACGTTGACAAGGGTTTGACCGGCTCGAAAGGGTCAATACGGGGACATGGAAACACGTTCACGACCCGAACACGAATGCCATACTCTCTGGTGGACTGGTGTGGTCAAGCGTAAGTCGTTTGGCTTTGCCGTGTAAATTATGTTAAACGTTTGTCAATTTGTGTGTGATTTGTCTTGCCGGGCAAGGTGCGAAAGGGTTGACTGGCATGCCATGGTCACGCGCTATTAACTGCGGTTTATTGGCCTCCGCTCTACATCTCCAGCGAACGAGCAGGCCATGTTGACTAACGCTTGTGCCTTGGAGTATCATTTGTTACTCGGCATTATCCGTATCAGCTATCCATTCCACCAAACTGATTCCATCTTTTTCTACCACCTCTAACAAAGCCACTCAAGATGTGTTAAATATATATTTGAAAAGCCGCAAATATCGCTGGAACAAAATAAGGTGATGGGTATCTATTAGTCGATTATGTTTACGTGTTTTTGTTAACAAATATTCGAAGAAGGTTCCAGTAGAAATAATTGTTTAGTGCGATTAATCGATTCTGTTTATTTGATCATGGATTAACCAAAGCAGTTATCATTCGCAGCGTGCCTAAAAGTATGCAGCTAAAAATATAGAAACGTATTGGAAATGAAACATAATGATGGTCTTGAGTCTTGAGTTCTGAAAATAATCGTAAATTCTATTTTCGATAATTATCGGTTGCATCGACTATAATCGAAAGTAGGTACAGTAGGAAAAGCCAGTATTCATTCAGACAGTATTCATTCGACAAGTTCAAACGTTGCAGATCTTCGGCCTTGGCCAGCGTTCCACTCATTCGGTGCACACCATTTGCCGTGTTGGCCTTATCAGACAATGGAGCCAAGTGGTATGCAAAAAGAAAGAAATTGGTCAAAGTTTAAAGAAATGACTAACACTTGGGTGTGGCAAAAAGGCGGCAAATAAATCGACTTCAATATATCAAAGACTTAAATTTCAATTTTTTTCAAATTTCCTGCCATTTAAATGCACTCCTTCGGCCAAGTGCCCAGCGACAGGATTCCATTTGCTCGCTCCCAACGCCCAACGCCCAATGCCCACCCATTCCCGTTGCCGGTTCATTGTTATGGTTGTGTTGGTAAATGATGCGCAGCGCATTGGTGTGGGCGTGGGCGTGGCATTGCTGCAAAAATTGTGCCAGGAATTGAAATTTTCTTTTTTAACAACAGACCGACCAACGACGGCAAAGACGACGCAATTCTTTAGCATTTTATTTCAATTTTTTCATTTTTTTTTTTATCTTATTTTGCATTTTATAGAGCTGCAAAGTGAGTAAGTGAGCGAGAGCTAGAGAGAGAGAGGGCGGTTAGAGAGAAGTGTGGAGACAACGCAAGTGTACAGCACATTTACTGCCTCATCTATTTAATACCATAAATAATTGCATCTAATTAAATATGCTCAAATGAAAATGTCCGCTTTTTTTCCTGCCATTTTTTTAAATATATATATATATATATTTTTTTTTTCCCTTTGCCGCTGTCGCTACGTGCTCTGCCAACGTTGGCTGCAGTTGACGCGTGATGGAGCGAATGTCATTCGAAATGAAATTCAAGTTCCAATTTGGAGCAAAGAACGAACGACAGCAACTGAAGAGACACTGGGCGAGAGAGAGAGAGAGAAGCGTGGGCGAAGGCCAGCGCAAAGAAAAAATAAATGTATTCCAGCCGGTGGGGGGCGACTGGCAGATACCCTGTACAAACCACCGACAAGCTTTCAAACTTATCTCGATATCGAGGAAATGCGGCTAATTGGTTGACGAAAGACGGACGGACAGACACCCGAACCCGGCTTGATCGATTCGAAAATTGCTGCCGGCCAAGAGTATTATGAAGGTGCCTACTCCCACTACCCGTTACATCAATTTGCACAAAATCATAACACTCTTCTATTTTTTTTGTAGGATATAATTAAGTAGCAGCGCGCGCGAGAAAAAAAAGACAGAATTTAATAGTTTTCAATTAGGAATCGTTTGCAGCCTTTGCTTTTGCGCCCTTCCTTTTTTTATGGCACACACTTGACGCCACAGCAGCAGCATCAGCGGCGGCAGCAGCGGCGGCAGCAGCGCTGCCATCGTTGACGTCCTTTGCTGGCGATGGCCGCTGTCACTTTTCTTTGCTCCGGAGAAGTGTCAAGCAAATGAAGTCACGACTCGCCGAGTCGCCAACTCGACGACTCGTCGACTCGCCCCGCAGAACCAGTTATTTGTTTCGCTGTTTTGTGTTGTTTCCTTTGCCGCTGTTTCTGTTGCTTGCGTGTTTTTAATTCAACGTAAATTTTATTTTATTTTAATTTCGCTGCAATTCTTTTAATACAGGCGCACACGCACACACACATACCTATACAACCCTCCCTCCATTTTCGCCCATTCTGCCATTTGTATAAACCCAAGCAGGAAAATCGAGCACTGACAGTCGTGTCGGCAGCGGCGCGAGCGGCTTTTATGAAAATGACACGCTGTGCATTTGCTTACGTGACTCTTATTTAGCCGTTGGCTTTTTCTTACTTTTCTTCTTTGCTCTTTCCTTTTTGTTTTTGAAGTACTTGTAATTATTGCACACATTGCTTTAATTAAACATACTACGCCAAAGCATAAGCGAGGGCTTTATAGACACACTAAATACTATTGCCTACTTTTGTGCGGGCCAAGTTTTATTTCTCATAGCTGCTGCCACTATGCGCAATTCGTTTAAAAGTATATTGTTGTTAAAAAAAAAATAGTAATAATAATATATAAAATATAAATTTAAAGATGATCGAATGAAAATTAAATCTATTTTCAGTATGAATATTCGGTATAATTATCATGAATAATAACGATATATGAGAAGACACAAATTTCTGTTTATTTATTGAAAACTCTATCCAATTATTTATAAGAATTGAAATAATGTTTTGTAGATGGTTTTCTTCTCGACAAACAACAGATGTAACAACCATACATATTTTCACTAAAATGTAATTTTTCACTTTCTTTTGGCAACTTCATGAAGATTGGATGCAAATGAAACTAACTCCAATACGATATTCGATTTCATAAATTGAACTGTTGCGAGTGCTTTAGCTAAACTTTGGAATAGCCAACAAGCTTGGCACTTTTCCTTACACACGAATATTTATTGAGGCTAGGCTGCCGCTATATGGCAACCCTGCCCATTCTAGTGTGGCAACACAATCAATGCAAGGGCGAAAACGAGCCAAGACAGTTACTTAAATAACTTTGCAGCAACAAAGCAAGGCGCGGGCGGGGGCGGGGGCGGGTAGATGGCGGTGAGTGGGGCTCCCGCCGGAAGTTATTGAGTACGGCAAAGGCGCGACCTAAAACATCAACAAAAACAACAACAATAACAACAAGAACGACTCTGAAACGGCTTTGGCGTTGCCACCTGCCGTCACCATTGGCTGGCGTGCAAAATTTGTGTTCGATGAATTTATTACTTTTGATGTTCAAACACGAAAACTGCTGCAGGCCATAAAACAAGCAGCGAGCGCCAAAAACTTAAGGACAAGCGCCAAGGCCAAGCCAAGCCAAGCCAAAGCCCAAGGAGTACCCAAGAGCCCAGACTCAGACGCCAAATAGTAGAAGGCGGCTGAACAGAGTTTGGAACAGCAAATGCTATTAAAAGTTTACATGTCTCAATAGAGTGTTAAGAGATTAGTTGGCATAAAATATTGGAGAATTCCAACCAAAAGGCAGGCGGCCTTGTTGAAAAGTTAAGAGCCGGTTGACTGTGCACGCCCTGCAGCGGGGGCAGTAGCCCCAGCAGAGGTAGGGGGCAGGTAATTTTGGTGATTTTATGCTGTAATTTCAAATAGGTGGAGTTGGAAACGTTCCAAGCTGAAATTAAATAAAATTTTAGCAAAAACTAATTATGAAAAAGCAATTTTAATATGCAGCTTGGACTTTTTTGTAAAAAATAAAATATTAAATGTGAAAATATATATTATTATTTTTTGCTTTTATTATGTAAGCTATGCCACAATTAATTTATCTGCACCTTGCTTTTAAAATACATATCTTTGTATGATAATAACAACTTTATTGGACCTATATTAATACTTAAATATACACTTGAATGACGCGCTCATCTGAAACTTCACACACACGATTATATTAGCGTCATCTATCAGTAGGCGGGAGAAGAATTTTTATATAAACACAGCACTGAAAGAACAGGAAGATATGTTACATTTATTTTATATATTAGATTTAAAATACGTACCATTTTGTTATAATTGATGTCGCCTGCTCCGCCAAAGCCACAGTCACTGCCTCCTCCATTGTTCAAGTCGCCGACTCCTTCATAGTTGAGGCCGCTGCAGCTTCAGCTTCGGCTCTTTTTGCTTATAATGTGTGGTGATCACCAACTAGTCATTAACTTTGACCTAGACATTATTATGATAATAGTATTAACAAATTGTGATTGTAATCGCATAAGATGTACAATCCATAGCATGTAAAATGTAAAAATATACAATTATATAAGTTTACAATATTATAAAGCTATAAAGTTATGAATTTGACATATAAATAATAATACTTATATATATAATAATGGTCAGTCTATAAACATGATTCAACTGTTTAAAGTTCGAGAAACAATGATATTGCATGCGAGATAAGAGCTTGGGCTCTCCGGACTCACATATAAAGAGTGTGCTGGCTGTGAAGCAGTTGCCAATTTAGTTGCAACATCATGACTAGTCTCTCGGGACTACTGGTTGTTGGACTGATGTTGCTGGTGTACGCCAGGGCCGAGGACAAGAGCTATAGCATCGAGCTAAGCTCGTTTGAAAATGGGAATATTGACTGGGCCGATTGGGGCACGCTGCGCATAAGGCATGTGGGACGCAACAAGTATACTCTGGACAGGAATATCGAATTTGAAAGGAATATTGGTGATGAGCAGAGCGTAAGACACTTTCCAAATTATATATAATATATTATATATATATGTATTATATCTTATTAAACTCTTCAGATGTGGCGGCATGTGTTCGGCTACGAAGAGGATACCAAACAGATAGGTTCCTTAATAAAGGTTCCATTCTGTCAGTTCGTCAACGAGAAGTTCATTTTGCAAAAGAAGTCCAATATGATAGAACAGGGCGACTGTCCATTTTCTAAGGACAAGTACACAATAGACAACTACGAACTGGAGACCACCTTCCTGCCACCTACTATGCCCATGGGGGATTACCTATTGGTGCTTAACATAACGGATAAAGATGATAATGTCAGTGGTCATTTGGCCTCTGTCACACTAACCCAATGACATCTGTTCATATTTTTTGTTGTTTACTTTTGCTAATTTCTTATTATAGTATTCTTTATTTTGGGTGGATCCATTTGGCACTGCAGGCGTTTTACATATATGTGTATGTCTTACTTATCTTAAGCTTCTTTCCCACTTGTCAAACATAAAACAATTTCGCTTTCAAGGACCTAGAACTTAATGCAAGCTTTTCATTCCCAAATATTTAGGATTTAACCAGAACCAAGCTGAAATCCCAAGTGGAATTGAAATATATTTGGATTAGTTGCAGAAGCTTGAGTATTTTGACAAGAAAGATGCAAAACTTATGTAATGTCAGAAATCGGTTAAGACTTGGGACTACACATCCAACATTTGAGGATAGCTATGATGTTTAATATTCGTTTTTATTCCCTTGAATAGTTCTAATATTTCTCAAATGCTTAAATTTTGGTATAATAAGCTATCATTAAATATACAGAGGTTATCAATTTCAAGATGTTGGCAGAGTATTCGCCGAACAAGTTAAGAGGGAGCTTGAGAATTGAGAGGGTATCTGAAGAGTCTGGCGTCTAGTGTGATTTAGAGCTTTGTCAAGTACTTGCATGCTGAAAATTTCAAATACAAAATACAAAAATTGGAAGGCACAAAATTCAGTTTCTGCATCAACACCTCGTCTAATTGAAATTTGCAATTGCAATTGCTGCCGTTGTCCCGTTATTTCACGCTGTGCCATTTGTCATTGACAAGCAGAGTGGCAACGCCCAGCATATGGCAAGGCTCTCCAAAATACGCGAGCATAATGACAGCTGCCCCAGCATCCCACTCTCTCTCTCCCTCTCTCTCTCTCTCTCTATCGTGCAGCACAGCATGCATAAAGGGTTGTGCATTGGGTTGGGTGCGGGGATCGGGGTTGGGGTTTTGCTTATGGCTTTGCAATGGGCTGTGTTTTTGCTAAAAATGATTATCTGTGCATTACAATCCATTGATTCCACTTAAGCACCGTTACAATTGCACACACTCGCACACACACGCAGAGACAGAGCGACAGCCACATGCGACACTTAATTAACAAATATGCATTACAAACACCCGCAACGAGCAGCAATTGGTTGGTCATGTCATCAGTTCGCCCACCCATAACCAGAAGCCCCAGACCCTGGCGGCCTTCCTCTGCCCTACGGCACCCCTGCAGCAGCAGCAGCAATACACACAAACACACACACTCACATATTGCTGCACATTTGCATTGCCTATGCATGTGGATGGCTTTTTATTTGCCTCGTCAGCGTCAACCACCCGCGTGGCAGCAACAGCAGCCGTGGCAGCAGCAACCGTTGCCGCCGTCGCCGTCGCAATTGGGGAGTTGTGTTGCATGTGTTTAATTGAAAAATCATATGCAGCTCGCATAATTATGTTTATTGCAATAATCTGATGCGAATTTTCAAAACACAAACTGAATGCTTTAGACGACAGCGCCCCAAAGCAGGCAACCTGGCAACCCTGCCAACACCTGACACCCCCACCCCCACCGTCGCCGCCGCCGCCACACGTCACGCACTTTTGTGCTATCTGTTGCTGTTGCCTGTTGGCTGTTGGTGCACATTAAATTGCACTTGAAATTGCACATTTCAACGCCTACTGATTATGACAGATAATTATGTTATCGAGTGTTGCCACACGCAAGCGTTGCCCCTTTGTTCGCGAGCAGTTTGACGCATCCCAAGTCTCTGGATGCTAGCTGGGGTATCTTTTATGCATACATATGAGTAGGTACACACTCACATAATACTAGCGGCCTTTTTCCGGCCTTGCCCGGGCCAAGTTTTATGTTGCATTTTTTAGATGTCCCTAACAATCTACTGAAAATGAGTTTAATGTTAATTAAATTATAAGCCGAAAGAGATAATTTACTTAGTACCATGCGCTGCGTGGAACAATTTCTTCAATCTTGTTTATAGCAAAGCCTTAAACTCGAGCTTGAAGATGAAAAGTGTGATACACATATCACATGATATTAGACCACTATCTTTGAAAACGAGTTTGAGCTCGATCAGATGGTAAACAAAAATGTTTCATTTATTCATTTTTCAAGATTTGTTCGTACATGAGATTGGATTTAACCATTACTTATGCCATAACTGTTTACTATACTACAAATATCTGTTGTCTAGCTTTCAAGGCATATGATCACCAATTAGCCAGGCACAAGCAGGTTTTTATAACAGATAATACAGATAGATAATAGAAGCCAATCTACGTAATTTTAAAAGTAAAATTAAGTAATAAGTAGGTTTTAATATAATAGACTTGGCATTTTCATTTATTATCCTACGTTGAATTTAGTTTGATTATTCTATTATGGCTTACATGATATGGAATCAGCATACTATACCCATATTTGAAAGCTGATATTATTTATATTTTGAAAAATGTATTTGGTCAGCGACAATTCCAAGTTTGGGTGTACTTCATATTTCTTATGCACTTTAGCATCGAGCTAAAGATTATCAATCTGTAAACTTGAACTTGGATTCAACGCGTTTGTAGGGCTATGGAAATGCTTGGACGATAAGAACCGAATATTTTTGACGCTCACAAAAACAAATAAATTTCCTCAAATTCTGATAACATTATACAAAATATTGTAATATAAAAGTTTTTTAATTATATTATTATTTGTGGGTATGTACAATGAATTTGTTCGATTTTGAGCAACGTTTTCAAAGCATATTTGTGCAGAGAACTGCATTTTATAACGTTTTTATATATATTTATACACAGTTGCACTTTATATAATTATGTTATGTTAGGTTTGTAATTGAATCTGAATTTAAAAATAACACCCAAAAATAATACCCAAATATATTTACATGCTGAGAGTTAACATTTTTAACGAATGTGATCTGGGTGGGCATAGCACATGATATGGAAATCTGTAATATAAATATAATATAATATAAAACATAGAAGTGCGCAGAAACGCGTTTTATCCCTCTCTCTTTCTCTCTCTGTCTCTCTCTCTCTCTCTGACACGCTCACACAGTCTCAATTCCTTATCAGCATATTTATATGTTATTCACATATATACATATACAAACATACGCATAAATATATTTTGAATATGAATGAGTAAGCTGTCGAAAAAAGTAAAGCAGAAAACTGATTAGGTCTAGAGTGCTATTAAAGCTGATACCCTGTAGTCTTCAGAAAATAGGAATCAACATATTGGTTAAATGAAGTTTAGGTGAACTTTATAATTTTATTTTGTACTTTGTAAACATACGTAAATTATTATTTTATTTATATATATAATAGAATTGCCTTATCACTGTTACGTTTATCCCCATATATGAAGATACCCTTTTTACACACTTTTGTTAAAACAGGGTATATCAAAGCGCAGCCTCTAGACCCTTGGTAGCAGCTGAGGCCAATTGCGAAATTTAGTTTTGTTTCAATTCATTTGCGCTTCAGTCACATTTTCAAGTTAAAAATGTTTTTCAAACAAATTCTATTATTGTTTATGTTGATGCAAGCCATGGTGTTCGCTTTCGGAGTGGTATGTTATTCAGTTAAATTACAATAAGGTTTATATAAACTATTTCTAAAATCCTATTTTATGATTGTTGTCAAGGACTTGCAAGCGACAAACCTGAAGTCGGAGTTCAGCGTCAAATGTTTTGGAATAATGCAACCGCTGCTGCAGGAAATTGCCGTAAAAAAGGAGAAAATTGATCGATTTGATGAGATCATACAAAATAAAGAGAACACGCTGGTCGAAATACAGAGCAAATATGATCAAGTGCAAATAAAGCTCGCCGTTGCGGAGACTGCGCTTAGGGAGAAGGAACACCAACTGGTGCAACAGCAGGATTTGTGCAACTCCCATAGAAACAACAGCAATGTGAAGGATGAGCTATTGAAGGCCTACAAGCTACAAGTACAGGATAAAACCATTCGAATTGAGCAGCTGCTAAAAGAGTCCAAGGAACAGGCTGAATTGCTGGACAGCTGCAAATTGCAGGCCAAGGCAAAGGAAGTTCAAATAGAGCAGCTGCAGGAAGTGGCTCAGGCAAATGAGCTACTACAATTGGCAACAGCTAAGAACGTGACACAGAAGGAGGAGCAAATCCAGCAGCTGCTGTTCGATGCGAAGGAAACCAAAGAACAAATCGAGAACTACAAATCCCAAATCAAAAGCAAAGATGAGCAGTTGGAGAAACTGCATGCGGAAATACACTGGAATAACGTTAAAGTCCAGGAGCTGGAAAATAGTCTAAGGAATAAAGATCAACAAATTGCCGAGCTGCAGGCGGAAGTCAAAAGAATGTTGAATCAACGAAGCGCACTCGGATTGCAAGTCGATGCAAGCGAGATGCAAATCGAGCAAAAACAATCGGAAATCAAGAATTTACAATCGGAACTGCATGAGGTGCAGGCACAGTTATCGGAGTACAGGATGCAAGTCGATAGGCTGCAATCGACAAATTGTCATTGGTTTGGCAACTCCTCCGATATACACAAGATACGAGCACCCGGCATCGATCCCTTTGAGGTGCTCTGCGATTCTCGATTGGCTGGGCCAGGCTGGACCGTAATACAGCGTCGCATTGATGGTAGCGAGAACTTTTATCGGAACTGGAGCGATTATCGCGTAGGTTTTGGCAGCTTGCAAGGCGAATTCTTTATCGGTATGGAGAAGCTCTACAGACTGACCATGGCCCAGACCCAGGAGCTGTACATCCATCTGGAGGCCTTTGATAATTCCACCTACTTTGCCCGCTACGCGGATTTTAGCGTTGGCAGCGAAAGCGAGGCCTACGCTCTGAAACTTTTGGGCACCTACACGGGCAATGCGAGCGACGCCCTTTACTTTGCCAGAAACCGAAAGTTTTCCACTCATGACGTTGATAATGACAGGAGCGACGGAAATTGTGCGGAGCAGAAGCATGGCGCCTGGTGGTATGATCGATGTGGTCACAGGTAGGTCAAAGTTCAAATTTCGTTGAATTCCATCAGCTTAATACAACCTGAATTCCATCTCGCTTGCAGCAACCTCAATGGTCGGTACTTGAATGAGGGATCTAAAGATCATATTGGCATTTATTGGCTTGGGAGACACGCCTTTTCCTTTAAGGCAGTGCAAATGATGCTGCGACCCAAGTCGGTTCAATATACCTGATAATCAGATCATGCCTA